TTGATTTCAAAATGGCCGCCATATGATTTGACATGGCTGATTTCAAAATGGCTGTCATATGATTCAACGTGGCTGATTTCAAGATGGCCACCATATGTTCCGACATGGCTGATTTCAAAATGGCTGCCATATGATTCGACATGGCTGATTTCAAAATGGCTGCCATATGATTCGACATGGGTGATTTCAAAATGGCTGCCATATGATTCGACATGGCTGATTTCGAGATGGCAGTCATATGTTGCGACATGGCTGATTTAAAAATTATTATTTTCCAGAAAGCTTGATTTCAAAATGGCCGCCATATGATTTGACATGGCTGATTTCAAAATGGCTGCCATATGATTCGACATGGCTGATTTCAAAATGGCTGCCATATGATTCGACATGGCTGATTTCAAAATGGCTGCCATATGATTCGACATCGCTGATTTCAAAATAGATGCCATATGATTCAACGTGGCTGATTTCAAGATGGCAGTCATATGTTTCGACATGGCTGATTTAAAAATTATTATCTTCCAGAAAGCTTGATTTCAAAATGGGCGCCATATGATTTGACATGGCTGATTTCAAAATGGCTGCCATATGATTCGACATGGCTGATTTCAAAATGGCTGCCAAATGATTCGACATGGCTGATTTCAAGATGGCTGCCATATGTTCCGACATGGCTGATTTAAAAATTATTATCCTCCAGAAAGCTTGATTTCAAAATGGCCGCCATATGATTTGACATGGCTGATTTCAAAATGGCTGCCATATGGTTTGACATGGCTGATTTCAAAATGGCTGCCATATGATTCGACATGGCTGATTTCAAAATGGCTGCCATATGATTCGACATGGCTGATTTCAAGATGGCTGCCATATGTTCCAACATGGCTGATTTCAAAATTATTATCCTCCAGAAAGCTTGTCTTGTCTGTGACAATCACAAATATGCCTCAGAATATTTAAATTTCCAATTAAATAATTTTTAAACTCCATTAACACCAGTTATAAAATAATATTTTCAAGAATTGCCGAGCTTTGCTTGAATTCAGTTGCATGAAAAGTGCAATTCCAGAAGGATACTCTGTTTTTTTGCTTTGTTCTTCATAGTGACCAAATAAGATTCTTTATAATCTTCACTCCTCTCTATCTTAGGCTGGAAAACAATGGATCTTTAATACTGCTAAGAGCAGTAAACATTGTGATGTAATATCAGAATACATGTTACAGAAAGTAACAGTGAAAGGAGCACCTTTTGAGATGAAGCTACACCTGATATACCTGATTAATGATCTATTACACCATTGGTAAGTATTTTGCTGGATTACATGATTTCACTTTCTCACAAATACAATACATGGTTTAGAATAGGAAAGTCGGGGGATATTTTGGGGTCCAGTAAAAATTGCCAGTTTACCATCACCAATGTTTCACTGTATATAATTAGTCCCCGTTCGGATGAAGTCCGAAAACGGGGACTTATAATTCGATTCAAAATGGCCAACTGGCAGCCATCTTGTTTTTTGAAAATGTTGTATTTTGGACATGCTTTGTCAGTTGTCATTCAAACTTGGTACATAGATTATACATGTTAGGATACATGTCAATGACGATTTATTTCGCAATTGGATCAAAGATGGTCGACTGGCAGGCATCTTGTTTTTGTTTTTTTATGCGGTATCTTGGATGTGCTCTGTCAGTTTTCATTCAAATTTGGCACATACAAGTTAGGATGCATGTCCATGACAATTTGTTTCAAAATCTGGTCAAGGATCGCCAATTGACAGCCATCTGACTTTTTGGCCTTATTACTATATTTCCACAATTTATGTACCATATTCATTCGTATTTGGCACATACCGGTACATCATACATATCAGTTTGTTTCATAATCAGATCAAAGATGGCTGAATAACGGCTGTTTTTATTTTGGCCATATTACTATGACACGAAACACGTGTTTTGATGTAAATAAACAATCTGTTGTATACGCCACTTGAAACTCAAGTTTCAAGGACACGCTCGCGACAACCCCTCCGCTTTAATATGACGAGCACAAAGAGAACTTAACAGGGACTGTGTCATTTTCAATGACTTGTTGATATTATTTCTGCATAGTAAACTACATGATATTAACTAAGAGGCATATGTGCACAATTGTCTCATACAAGGGGAATATTAGTTTTACATTCCTGCATATGAAGTACTTGTGTTTTCTACAGTCACAGGAAACAAGCCAATGATTTATTGAAGTCCTTGGAGAAGATAGCAGTACCAATTTTCTGCAGTACTCACATTGGTGTAGACGATGAAAAGCAAAGTAAATTAATAAAGGTATCTATATTTTTAAATATTCAAAATTAATCCTTTTATAACCCACAGATGTAGTAAGAATGTCACACATGTATTATTTGAGTTTTTCAATCTGTTCTTTCCCATTTGTCGCACATTTGTTCGTTAATACAGTTTGTAAGAACAATATTTGTATGTACATTTAGCTGTTACAATTCAAATATCTAGTCATTATTTCCAATATAAATCATATTGCCTTGTTCTAATGTTTAATTAACATGTAGTGCTACCTAACATACCAGTAGTGCCAGTATGGGAGTGGCCACTCATTAACAGAGTTGTTTGGGCAAGAGATGTATATGCTCTGTCTTTAAAGTTTTAAATGCATACCATGTGACATTGAAAGGACCATTATAATGACTATATACTGTAATCTGGAACCTCCATTGAAATCTCAAATAATTCAGTCTTTGCAAACATCACCCCTGGGCAACTTTTTTTATAGATGAGATATCGTCTCCAATTTGCAAGGTTATGGCTGTTAACCAGGTGCAATCCAACTACAATGTTCCAAAATTTTGGTTACTTAATTTATTGTAAAAATTGTATTTTTAGCTATTATTGATGTTTTAATTTCAGTTGTTGACACTATGGGAGAACAATAAATACTTCAATGCTGCAGTAATTGACCAACTAAAGAATCCAGTCATGTCCATGGCACAATACCAAGTAAGTAGTCAATTACATACATTGTCTGTGACAGACTGTCCATCCATGACATGAAATGAACTATCATACTTGTTTGACTCAGCGCCCATGCTTGACTACAATTTTAAGATTACTGGCAGTTGTAACAATAGTTTTCAAGTTTTAGATCAATACAGAAATTATTGATTGTAGCATAATAGATGCTGCACAGACTCATGGTTGGTATAGTTAAATTCAAATTTGATCTGCAGTTGTACAAACGAAAAGTGGTTGACCCTACAAAAGCTGAGATTCCTTCATCAACGGATGCGACTTTGGGAGAACCTTAAAAGTCTACAGGTGTGTTGGGCTGAGCTACATTGATGCTAGGGTGAAAGGAAGATTACACATGAATATTATTTTTGTGACAATATGTACAATACCATCATCACTGGCATTTTTACACATTTGAACGTCTTGAGAGTCAAACACTAAAAAGTGTAATATGCATGTTATTTTTTTCAGGCTAGTCTCATCACAGATCATGGCCCCATAGTTCAACAGGTACAAGGCAGTATCCAAACACAGTATCAACAACTACAGAAAACACATAATGACTTTGTAAGTCATCTTGTGAGGCAACCTCAGCCACCTGCTCAACAACCAATGCCTCCTGGTACAGCAGGTCAGTGTAATCATGTGTACAGACATTGTGATTGTAACTAAAAATTAATTGCATTACTAAAATGAATGAATTATCACATTAAATGAGCAAATTATCACATTAAATGAGTAAATTATCACATTAAATGAGTAAATTATCACACTGCCTGCCGAAAGCTTCCACAAACATACCAAACTCAATGGGAAAAGGCAGTAGGCAATGTGATAACCCAGAATGTGAGAGTCATGAATTACTCAAAACATAAGCATATAGCAATTATATTTGGACCTAGATTATAGTGGAGCATTTTTAATTAAATTTTTTTGTCAAATTTGTGTCAGATTAGTATCTTTGCTCACTTGCTACATGTCGGGATCAAAGTTTTTTAGAAAAATGATGTATGTTTATTTTGTAAAATGTGAAAGTTTTTTGTTTTTTTTTGTTATTTACAATCGCTGATCAAGCAAAGCTATCCATGTTACGGATTAACTCATCCTCCATTTTCTTTGGTGCTTGCATCAGATACATTTCACTGCTTGTAATGATTGGTATCCTGCTTAAATCTGTCTTGGGTTTCTCTAATAGGTTTTGTTCCTCTTGGCATTCCTGGTGTGCATGGTGGAGTACCTCCTGTGGGTGATCCGCAACCACCCCCTCCTTCGGTAAATCTACCAGCATCTTTGTCAGGTATAGCCATAGTATATATGTATTAATCAAATGAGCTGAGAGTATCATATTTGGGTAACACTTTTACTGGAGTAGTTTCCTTTGAGTGGCTGAAATTCTTCCTATTATTAGTATGCAACATGTCTTATTTAGATTTTTGTTTCACAACGTTACTGTTATCAGTAATCGTTGACAGTATAGAGTGAGGCGGGCTTTTGGCACATTAAAGTAAATTACCAATTGACTTCACCAATTAAAGTGTTTCCCAGATAAGTAGCACCATGCTCCTAATTTAATTAGATCATTTCAGCTGCCATCTGTTTTATTTCCTTTGTATTTCTTTGCCTTTCATGCATAATTTTCATAAGGTTCTAATGCTGTTTGCATGGTTCTATTTTTGTTTGAAACGAATATAGCCTCTCAATGCTTTTTTTTCTAGTTCCAATACCAACGGCCCAACCATTTGGACCACCACAACAGCCTACAGCAGCCCCTCCACATGCTGCTGCTACAGTGCCTCCACCGGGTGGTGCAGGTCAACAGTTTGGTCAGCAACAATTTTCTCAAGGTCAGGGCCTACAAGATAGATCATTTAATGCAGCAACACCGCCACCACTACATTCACAAAGATATGGTATGTTTATATGTGCAATGCTTTGCTTTAACCTCGGTTCTTTTTTGCCTTTTTTGTTAAATTTAATTATTTATGTTTTGTATTTCCATGTGTCATGTATTAACTGTATGTGTTATGTTTTATTGTCTGTCCATGTGCTATGTTGTATTATCTGTCCATGTGTTATGTGTTATGTTGTGTTATCTGTCCATGTGTTATGTTT